CGCCCTTCCCGTCGCGTCGCCCTGCAGGCCGCGCGCGGGTCTGCAGGGCGCGTGCGGCCCGTCTGCCCGTCTCGCGGCCTTGGGGAGCAGCGCGCGGCCCCCGCCCTTCCTGTCGCGTCGCCCTGCAGGTCGCGCGCGGGTCTGCAGGCCGCGCGCGGCCCGTCTGCCCGCCGCGCGGCCCGTCTGCCCGCCGCGCGGCCTTGGGGAGCCGCGCGCGCCCCCCGCCCGTCCGTCGCGGCGCCCTGGGGAGCCGCGCGCGCCCCCCCGCCCGTCCGTCTTGGCGCCCTGGGGAGGAGCGCGCGGCCCCTCCTGTCCCCCCCCCCCCCCCCCCCGTGCTGCCCATTCCTCCCGTGCCGCCGTGCGTTCCGCGGTGGTGGGGGGTGTGGGGTGGCAAGCATGGGGGTGCGCGGTGTGGGTGTTCCCCTCCTCCTTGTTCGTCTCCCACTGCTGCAGCTGCTGCTGAGGGGGGTGGAGGTGTGGGAGCCGCGGGGAGTGGAGCTTGGGGGGTGACGTGGGAGTGGAGGTAGGGGTGCAGCAGGGGGTGTGTGGAAAGGAGGTGGGACTGTTTGGGGAGGCTGAGAGGAGGCCGCCGTCGTGTCGTTCGCAGCGCCTGTAGTCCGGAGCCGTCGTGCTCTCGGTAGCCCAGAGAGCCTTGCTGTGCCGGTCGCCCGTGGGTCCGTTGCTCCTGCCGCTCGTCGTAGCCGCGGGGCCTGTTACTCCCTGTAGTCCGGGGCACTTGCCGCCGGTAGCCACTGTGCCAGTCCTCCTGTTGCCCGTGTGTCTGCAGCTTCAGCCGTCGTCTCCCATCTTCTCTCCCTTCACAATTCCTCCTCCTCCTCACTTGCCCTCTGTGATCGCCTCTAGCTTTGCTTATAATTGTGAACTATTACTATGCCTGCTCATTGTGCTGATTACTCCCCACTTTGGCTATGGGGGTGTGTCAGAATGTTATTATCTAGCCTGTAGTGGGGTGCTCTATAGCGAGTACAACCCAGTTAGGGTTTGCTATATGTATCCCAACTGCTGCTAGTGAAACCCCTCTTTCGTCATTCTTCTTTTGAACTCTTCTCATTCTAACAGCGACAACTGGAGCGCGATCATGATCGCGAACAAACCAGGCTTCGTGAACCGAACGAAGCACATCGCGCTTCGATACTTATTTGTCAAGGACGATACTGAACAAGGCAAGGTTGACCTGACTTATTGCCCTACTACCGAGATGGCATCCGACTTCTTCACCAAGCGACTGCCTCGTCAGCAGTACCAGCACTACTCCAACCCAGGGCTGACGTTTCATTTTGGGCCTCCCTGATTCCGGGGAAAATTTTCCACCTGTATTATGAGGGCACATTTTCCACAAGGTAGCCACTCTGATTGCTCTGAGTTGAAAATTAAATTACTCTAATTGTTTAGGGTCGAGAATTGAACATCAAAGTAGTAACGAGCTCTTTGTTTAACGGGGAAATTGGTCTCACCCCGCATAATTGCAACATAGCGTGACATCATTTCGGGCACAGCTCGTGTGCGCTGATTACCATCCCGTTATTTTCACAAGTGGTATTTCTCCACGTGTTTTTTTCACGAAATGGTATTTTTAGCGCACATCGGTCAACCAAACAGTTCGATAGCACAGATGTGGCAATATTTTCTATTTCGCCGATTACCCGCGATGCGCCAACTTCGTTGTGCGAAACGCTAAAATTATTCTGGTAACTTTACGCACACGCAATTGCGATATTACAACCAACCTTTTCAAAATTCGTGAACGTAACACGCATATAATGTACTCGCTTATCGGACATGCTGATGTTCGCTGCTCAAGCACTCACTGTACTGCGACCCATCCAAAGGCGGGGTTATCGGAACGAAGTTTCTGAGAAACTTCCTCCCGATAAGGTCAAATTCAGGGACCACAGAGTCGATACTCTATTAAGTCAGGGACCACTAACAAGCTAGTTGTGAAAGTAAGCAGTAGAAGAAGGCGCCATAGCTAGGAAAGCCCTAGCTAGGCAAGAAACAGTTTAGGCAAAGAAGGAGGAGTTGCACTAGCAAGAATGAGGATACAAATAGCAAACCCTAGAAGGGTTGTACTCGCTATAGAGCACCCCACTACAGGCTAGAGCATAATATTCTGACACACCCCCATAGCCAAAGTGGGGTGTAATCAGCAGAGCAAGCAAAGCAGAACAAGCTCAGGGTGGATCACAATGTCACCACACATTCTGAGCACAAGTTCAGGAAGCAATAGTTTAAAGTTCACAATTATGAGCAAAGCTAGTGGTAGTCACAACGGGCAAGTGAGGAGGAGGAGGGACAGTGAGAGGAGAGGAGATAGGAGGCGACGGCTGAAGCTGCAGACACACGGGCAACAGGAGGCACACTGGCACAGCGGCTACCGGAACAGCGCTCCGGACTACTGGAGTAACTGGCCCCGCGGCTAAAAGTAGCGGCAGACGAGCAACGGACCCACGGGCGACTGGCACAGGTGGCTACGACTGGGCTACCGGAGCAACTCCCCGGACTACAGGTGCTGCTGGCGACACGACGGCAACCTCCGTTCAACCTCCCCCAAACAGTACCACCCCCCCTGACACACACCCCCTGCTTCACCCCTAGCTCCACTCCCCCTTCACCCTCCCTTAGTACCACTCCGACGGCTCCAACAGGTCCACCCCCCCTCAGCGGCAGCTGCAGCACAGGGAGACGGAGGAGGAGGAGGAGGAGCAGGGAACGGCACACAGAAGCTGCACCCCCATACCCCCCACCCCCAAACCCTAATCCAGGAGAACGGGCAGAAGGAGGGGTGGGGCGCCTTCAGAAGCACGGGGGACAACGGGGAGGACAGGGGCAGCGAAGAACGGGCCGCCCACAGGCCTGGCACAGCCTCCCGAACCGCGCGCAGGCGGCCCGAGCCGCGCGCGGGCCTGGCGCAGCCCGTACGGGCCGCGCGCGGGCCTGGCGCAGCCCGTACGGGCCGCGCGCGGGCCTGGCGCAGCCCGTACGGGCCGCGCGCAGGCCTGGCGCAGCCCGTACGGGCCGCGCGCCGGCTGTACGGGCCGCGCGCAGGCCACGACGGGCGACGGGGGGCGACGCGCGGGTCCCCGTCGCCCGTCGTAGCGCCTCCTGGGGGCGACGCGCCGAGTGACGGGGCAGAAACCCGTCGCGCGCCTCGGGGCGCACGGCGGGCAGAAAACCGCCGCGCGCCTCGGGGCGCACGGCGGGCAGAAAACCGCCGCGCGCCTCGGGGCGCACGGCGGGCTGAAAAACCCTAATTTCGACGCCGCGCACCACGGGGCGCGCGGCGGACAGGGAGTAGCAGTAGCAGCGGAAGCAGTGAGGTGGGGCCCACAGGCCAGGAGCATATCGCTCTAATACCATGTGAAAGTAAGCAGTAGAAGAAGGCGCCATAGCTAGGAAAGCCCTAGCTAGGCAAGAAACAGTTTAGGCAAAGAAGGAGGAGTTGCACTAGCAAGAATGAGGATACAAATAGCAAACCCTAGAAGGGTTGTACTCGCTATAGAGCACCCCACTACAGGCTAGAGCATAATATTCTGACACTAGTCTGTTACACTACACTCAAAATCGGGGATAGGAAAACTATTATTCTGATGTCGAAAAATATAAGTTTATATTTTCTATATGTAACAGTCTGTAGGATTGGTTACTGTAGTTATAGCGTTTCTAGTTGGTGGTGCACCATTCTTGCTTTTGCTTGCCTATTTGTACTGTTTGCTCTATAGTGAACCACCTCTTTTGTTGGCTCACACCTCTCGCTACTCCCCTTCCCAAGTTCCTAAGCTACTCTCTAAGCTATGGAGGTTCCTAAGGCATAGCACTTATTCTGACATCTGATTGGATCAGTGTTGAGAACACATAAATTCTGACATCTGAGTCTCCACAAAGTGAAAAGTCTGAAATCACCCTGAAATCAAGATAATTACCCTGATAAAAACAGCCCTGCTCTAACCTCACCGGAGTAGTCAAGCGAGTCAGCCCTCGACACGTCCAGGAATGAAGGGGGGTGTTGAGATATGAAGTTAAATGAGTAGGCATTTCTGTATGTTGCAAGAGCCGACTCTACGGAGTACGAAGTCGGGAAGTCAGAAGAGTCGAAGTGACGTCAAGCAAACCATGAGATCAAAATAGATGCAGGCAGAAACATTCAAAGTGAAAAAAGGCGGGAACATATTTGAACGGGCTCCCGTGCCTCACTGTTTGAATTCGCTACAATAAGGGAACGTATCCCTTAGAGTACATTGCTAGCTAGGACGTTTCGTTTTCCTTTGTATTTCCTAAATGATCCAATTTATGCATCTGCTATAATCATCTCAGTCATTTACATTCACTCTAAACTGAGGTAACAACTTCCGCTGCAACTCTACCTGCGATAAACCCTGAGCCGATCCCTGGCTAAGTCATTTTGGGACTGTAACACAACTTTTGGAACTGTAACAAAACTAATACAGATAGGGCCTGATTTCGGCCGAGCCTGTACATCCAAGAGTTCAGCCTGTATATTATGCAATACAAATCAAGGAAAACACAAATTCCTTACAGAAGATGTTTAGCTTTACAAAACTGGTTACGAAGTTGACTCAAAGTGATCTGGCCTGTAACGAGGATGACCCTCCCTTGAACCCGACTTTCTTTGCACAAGCTTTTCCCCCAACCAGCTGCGAAAGGATTCCCGATTCCCCGCCGAACCCACAGCACCAAGAGAGACTTGCGGGACTAGGAGGTTTCACGGCCACAGGAAATTAAGGGTTGGGCCATCATAGGCGCCACCTTCACCTTCGCGTAACGCCTTCCGCCTCAACCTCCCGTCCTCGGTAACAGGACGATGGTGCAGCGGCGGGGAGGTGGCGGAAAGGATGGGGCAGCGGGAATGGCGGAGGAGGCACACGTGCCGCTGCAAGCCATCTTATTGGCTGACAGCTTCGCGCAGACATTCCGACCAATAACGCTGCGCAAACCCAAGGTGGGCGCTCGCGGCCACCTCAATGTCCGTTAAACCCCTGCCACGCACGCCTCGATTTGTAAGCGCAGTGCGTTGTATCGAAATCGAAGCACCTTGTAGCGCAGCTGAGCGATCTAGCTCTGGCAGCCGTGATCGAGCGCGGAGGTACGGGAAGAAGTGGATCGTCGGCGTATCCACCACCCGTCGCTCGCCGCGCTCCTTCGACAGTGATCAGCTGCTCTCACGCCTGTCCCCCTCTCGCCTCCCATCACCTCCCATTGCCGTATTTGCTCCTGCCTTCCGCGTCACCCGTACGGGCGGGTGCGCTGTTGGTCCGCCGTTCCCACTAGCTCACCTGCCTCCGCGCGTCGGTCCTCCGTTCCCCCTTCTCCCCACGTGCGCGGCGGGTGCTGTTGCTGGCGGCGGGCGCGGCGATGGCGGACAACACGTATCGCAAGCTCAGCAGCCGTCCCCCCTTTCACCTCGTATCGCCTCCCCCCTGATGCGCGCAGGTGCTGCTGCCAGTGGCGGGCGCGGCAATGGTGGACTACACGCTCGAGTGGCTCGCCATGGCGGGCGTCGAGGAGACCTTCGTCTTCTGCTGCGCGCACTCCCAACAGGTACGCGTGCCTCTCTTATCCGCGCAGGTGCGCGCACTCCCCCCAGGTGCGTGCACTCCCCCCAGGTGCGCGCTTCTCTCCCCGGGTGCGCGCTTCTCTTCCCAGGCGCGCGCTTCTCTCCCCTGGTGCGCGCAATCCGCGCTCCCCCTAGGTGCGCACCGTGTGTGCGCACAAGGCCGGATACACTCTGGTCGCCAGCAGGTGCCTCCGCTCTCTGTCCCGTGCTGTGTTATGCTTACCTCCTTGACTTTCATTGACTCGCACGTACCTGCATCTAATTGAGTGAGCCGCATTGACCTAGAGAATACAAGTGAAGTGCTGTCGCATGGGCGTGCCTTGCGTTGACCTGCGTTGACTCGCATTCGCCCCGCTGACATCTTATCATTGCCAGGCCCACCTGAAGTTGCATGCATTGACCTGCGTTGACCTGCGTTGACCTGCGTCCATCCCATCAGATCCGAGCGCACCTGGAGGATGCCGGCTGGATGCGCCCCTCCTCCTCCTCGCACCATCAGGGGGGCGGCGGGCAGCGGCACGGCATGCGCGTGTCAACGGTGGTGGCGCATGACTGTGTGAGCGTGGGGGACGCACTCCGACACATGGATCACAAGGGCGTGGTGAGATGAGACACATGGACCACAAGGGCGTGGTGAGATGAGACACATGGACCACAAGGGCGTGGTGAGATGAGACACATGGATCACAAGGGCGTGGTGAGATGAGACACATGGACCACAAGGGCGTGGTGAGATGAGACACATGGACCACAAGGGCGTGGTGAGATGAGACACATGGACCACAAGGGCGTGGTGAGATGAGACACATGGACCACAAGGGCGTGGTGAGATGAGACACATGGATCACAAGGGCGTGGTGAGATGAGACACATGGACCACAAGGGCGTGGTGAGATGAGACACATGGATCACAAGGGCGTGGTGAGATGAGACACATGGACCACAAGGGCGTGGTGAGATGAGACACATGGACCACAAGGGCGTGGTGAGATGAGACACATGGACCACAAGGGCGTGGTGAGATGAGACACATGGATCACAAGGGCGTGGTGAGATGAGACACATGGACCACAAGGGCGTGGTGAGATGAGACACATGGACCACAAGGGCGTGGTGAGATGAGACACATGGACCACAAGGGCGTGGTGAGATGAGACACATGGACCACAAGGGCGTGGTGAGATGGGACACATGGACCACAAGGGCGTGGTGAGATGAGACACATGGACCACAAGGGCGTGGTGAGATGAGACACATGGATCACAAGGGCGTGGTGAGATGAGACACATGGACCACAAGGGCGTGGTGAGATGAGACACATGGACCACAAGGGCGTGGTGAGATGAGACACATGGACCACAAGGGCGTGGTGAGATGAGACACATGGACCACAAGGGCGTGGTGAGATGAGACACATGGACCACAAGGGCGTGGTGAGATGAGACACATGGACCACAAGGGCGTGGTGAGATGAGACACATGGACCACAAGGGCGTGGTGAGTGGTGGCATGCTGCTGGTCTATATGATCTCCATCTTATCAGCTCAGCATCGTGCATTCTCCCACGCACTACTCCCTTCGCCAGCTGGCTGGCATCAAGCGGGTAGTCTGTGTTGCTGCTCACTGGTCACTCCAACCAAGCTGCGCCCCTCCCTCCCATCTCATCACTCCGCCCGTTCCCCGTTGTGCCCCTCTATTTGCATGTTTCCCCGTCAAGCATCATCCATCCAGATACTCGTCTTCACCTCATGTTGCAATGCCTTCCCTGCCCTGCCGTGTCCCCCTGCCGTGTTCCCCCCCTAACTTCTGCGTGCTGTGGTAACCCTATTGTGTGGCTGGGAATCAGATCCGCGGGGATTTTATTCTGGTGAGCGGGGACGTGATCGCCAACGTCTCGCTCACCCACGCGCTGCACGCCCACAGGTGAGAAAGTCACGCCTCTGCTGACGTCAGCAATTCCACGGGCAATAGTGTAGAGCTCTGCTGGCGTCAACGACTCGCTCAGGTGTTTCCGACCTCAGTGTGGTATGACTCTTGAGTCAGCTCACAAGTCAGCTCACAAGTCAGCTCACAAGTCAGCTCACAAGTCAGCTCACAAGTCAGCTCACAAGTCAGCTCACAAGTCAGCTCACAAGTCAGCTCACAAGTCAGCTCACAAATCAGCCCCAATTCCTTCTCCCTCAGTCTCACAATCTGACTCACATGCCCCACGACTGGAGGGTCCGGTGGCTCTTGCTCCCGCCTTTCCCTCGTGCTCATGGTATCAACTCTTGTGCTGACGTCACGAGCTGTGCCCACACCGAATGGGGCTGTTGCAGCGGTTCTGTAGGCGTGGTGTGGGCCTTGGGGGTATTGGGGTCGGCGCCCGCAGTGGTGGTCCCCACCCCAGGCCGGGCTCAATTCATTGGCAGCCTGCATGGACTAGTGATCACACTACAGTCCATGCGCACATGGCTGCCCATACCACTCTCCCGCCCACACTGCCGCCAATCTGCCCCCCACCTGACTTAATCCCATCGTGCCTGCCCACCCAGCCGTTGTTGCTTGTTCCTCTGCATTGACGTGCTGCCTGAGCGTGGAGCGGCCCGACCTTGCCTGTATGGCTCCCACCCACCCGCTGTCCTTTCACCTCCTCGCATGTGTGTGTGTGTCCACTGTGCATGCTTGCTGTGTGTATGAGTGTTCACGAGTGGTATGTGCACATGTGTGTGCGGGTGTGTGTTTGTGCGAGTGTGTGTGTGTGTGTGTGTGTGTGTGTGTGTGTGTGCATGTGTGTGTGTGTGTGTGTGTTTGTGCGTGTGTGTGTGTGTGTGCATGTGTGTGTGTGTATGTGTGTGTGTGTGTGTGTGTATGTGTGTGTGTGTGTGTGCGTGTGTGTGAATGAGTGTGAGTGCATGTGGGTGCATGTGGGTGCATGTGGGTGCATGTGGGTGCATGTGGGTGCATGTGGGTGCATGTGGGTGCATGTGGGTGCATGTGGGTGGATGCGTGGTGGGTGGGCACAGGGAGAGGAGGCGCAAGGACAAGCAGGCAGTGATGACCATGCTGCTCACGCACTGCCCCTCCAACCCCCTCACCCACCTCGTACGCCCCTCACCCACCCACCCACCTCGTACGAGTTCTTTCCACCCTTCATTTCGCAGCAGTTTAGTCCCTGCTCTTGTTGCTGCTCTTGCTGTTGTTATGTTGTTTTTGCTGCTGCTGCTCACATCGCTCTCACTGCTGTGCTTTCGCGATTATTGTTCCTGTCGAGGTTACTGTTACTGCTGCGTTTCTCACTGGTTTCGCCGCATCAGCTGTTGTCAACCCCCACACTCCCCTTCGGACATACCCTCTCCTCCTTTCCACCTCCTCCCCCCTCTCACCCCAACCTTTTTTTTTTGTTTCCATTCTGTGTCCAGACGCGCACGGGCAGCGAGTCACAAGTGTTTGGCATCTGCCCGGACTCCAACCAGCTGCTCTTCTACGAGCCGCCGCCCGACCCCCACTCCTCCACGGGCACGGGCAAGCTCGCAGCTTTAGCAGGTGGACGGCGTAGCTTGGCAGTATCTGTGGAGCGGGCAGTGTGGCAGGGGCACAGACGGCTGGCACTGCGCACGGACCTGGAGGTGATGCTCGCTCTCGTAATCCACACACCAACCCCTTGCCACCCACACGAGTCAACCCCTTGCCACCCACACGAGTCAACCCCTTGCCACCCACACGAGTCAACCCCTTGCCACCCACACGAGTCAACCCCTTGCCACCCACACGAGTCAACCCCTTGCCACCCACACGAGTCAACCCCTTGCCACCCACACGAGTCAACCCCTTGCCACCCACACGAGTCAACCCCTTGCCACCCACACGAGTCAACCCCTTGCCACCCACACGAGTCAACCCCTTGCCACCCACACGAGTCAACCCCTTGCCACCCACACGAGTCAACTCCTTGCCACCCACACGAGTCAACCCCTTGCCACCCACACGAGTCAACCCCTTGCCACCCACACGAGTCAACCCCTTGCCACCCACAAGAGTCAACCCCTTGCCACCCACACGAGTCAACCCCTTGCCGCCCACACGAGTCAACCCCTTGCCGCCCACACGAGTCAATCCCTTGCCGCCCACACGAGTCAACCCCTTGCCACCCACACGAGTCAACCCCTTGCCACCCACACGAGTCAACCCCTTGCCACCCACATGAGTCAACCCCTTGCCACCCACACGAGTCAACCCCTTGCCACCCACACGAGTCAACCCCTTGCCACCCACGCGAGCCAACCCCTTGCCACCCACACGAGTCAACCCCTTGCCACCCACACGAGCCAACCCCTTGCCACCCACACGAGTCAACCCCTTGCCGCCCACACGAGTCAACCCCTTGCCGCCCACACGAGTCAATCCCTTGCCACCCACGCGAGTCAACCCCTTGCCACCCACACGAGTCAACCCCTTGCCACCCACACGAGTCAACCCCTTGCCACCCACACGAGTCAACCCCTTGCCACCCACACGAGTCAACCCCTTGCCACCCACACGAGCCAACCCCTTGCCACCCACACGAGTCAACCCCTTGCCGCCCACACGAGTCAACCCCTTGCCGCCCACACGAGTCAATCCCTTGCCACCCACACGAGTCAACCCCTTGCCGCCCACACGAGTCAACCCCTTGCCGCCCACACGAGTCAATCCCTTGCCGCCCACACGAGTCAACCCCTTGCCACCCACACGAGTCAACCCCTTGCCACCCACACGAGTCAACCCCTTGCCACCCACATGAGTCAACCCCTTACCACCCACACGAGTCAACCCCTTGCCACCCACACGAGTCAACCCCTTGCCACCCACGCGAGCCAACCCCTTGCCACCCACACGAGTCAACCCCTTGCCACCCACACGAGCCAACCCCTTGCCACCCACACGAGTCAACCCCTTGCCGCCCACACGAGTCAACCCCTTGCCGCCCACACGAGTCAATCCCTTGCCACCCACACGAGTCAACCCCTTGCCACCCACACGAGTCAACCCCTTGCCACCCACACGAGTCAACCCCTTGCCACCCACACGAGTCAACCCCTTGCCACCCACACGAGTCAACCCCTTGCCACCCACACGAGCCAACCCCTTGCCACCCACACGAGTCAACCCCTTGCCGCCCACACGAGTCAACCCCTTGCCGCCCACACGAGTCAATCCCTTGCCACCCACACGAGTCAACCCCTTGCCACCCACACGAGTCAACCCCTTGCCACCCACACGAGTCAACCCCTTGCCACCCACACGAGTCAACCCCTTGCCACCCACACGAGTCAACCCCTTGCCACCCACACGAGTCAACCCCTTGCCACCCACACGAGTCAACCCCTTGCCACCCACACGAGTCAACCCTTTGCCACCCACACGAGTCAACCCCTTGCCACCCACGCGAGCCAACCCCTTGCCACCCACACGAGTCAACCCTTTGCCGCTCTTTTGCTGCCCCATTGAAACCGCTTGAGTCGTCACACAGCATCCTTGGCAGAGGCAGCTCTCTTGTCGCGTTTGCAGCAGTGTTGGTGCACATGTGGCGGATGGTGCACCCACATGTGCTTCTCTGCTGTGCTTTGTGGCTGGAATACATGTCGATAGTGAGTCTGGTTCGATCCGTGCACTGTGCGCCTGCATCATCTTGACCTGACCCCCCCCAGTCACCGTCACATTGCACACCACACCACACCACCACACAGCCTTACTCTCCACCTTTTACTCTCCCCTCCCTCGCCTCGCCCTCATAACCGTAACTCCCATCACTCCACTCTGCATGTGCGCCTGCCGTAATGCAGGACAGTGGCATCGACATCTGTGCGCCGGAGGTGCTGTACCTGTACACGGACAACTTTGACTACCAGCACCCCCGGCGAGACTTCCTTCGCGGCATCCTCAATGATGACGTGAGCATTCTCAATGATGACGTGAGCTTTTTTAAAATTGTCTGTTCCATTCCCGTCCTCCCTCCCTCCCTCGATCACCTCATGCATTGCACTTCCTCGCACCTCTTCTCTCATAGCCCCACACGCACATGAGCAGCGGCACAGCAGCAAAGGAATTGGGAGCCTATTTTCTCCCTCTCCCTTACATGCCATCACATGTGATGACGCCATGAGTTGTGCCCACACCAGTGGGGCCCTCACGGGTCCCCAGGGCGGGCTGAATTCATTGGCAGCCGCGTTGACCCTCCAGTCAATGCGCCCATGGCTGCCCATGCCAGACTCCCGCCCACACCACACTGCCCCTGCTTGCATCTTCGTCTCATGCTAATTCTAATGCTATGCTGTCACCACAGGGTGGTGTTCCCGTGCCATGCGATTGTAGCACGCTGCCGTGCGAGCTTGTGTCACTATGCCTCTGTGTCATGCGTGACACAGAGGCATGCTTGTTTCCCTGCGATGCTCTGTGATCCCTCCATGCACTACCCGCTTCTCCCACACAATGTCATCCGCATACCATCTTGCACTCCCCCACTTCAGAGCTCGCACCAATCCATTTCCTCTTGCCCCCCTACCCCCTGCCCCGTTTCCCCATTGCGTTATCCCTTCTCTCCCTTGTCCCGTCGCCCCTTCCCGCTTCGTTCCCCCCCCCCACTGTGTTGATCAGATCATGGGAAACAAGATCTTCACGCACGAGATCAAATCGCAGTACGCCGCCCGCATCGACACGCTGCGGGCGTACGCGGCGGTGTCAAGGGACGTGCTGCGGCGCTGGGCCTTCCCCCTCGCGCCCGACTGCGCCTTCGGGGCCCACAGCGGCCGCACCGCTGTCACCCGTGGCAACCGGTACCGCGAGGAAGGTATGAGGAAGGTTAGAGGAAGGTGAGAGGAAGGTGTGAAGAAAGTCCGAGAAAGTTGAGAGGAAGGTATGGGTAAGGTGGAAGGAAATTGATTGAGAGGAAGGTGAGAGGACGGCAGGTGGGGCATGAATAATTGTGCAGATGAAAGCTCTCCGTGTGAACAGGAGCCATGCACGTGCATGTGACATGTATGTGAGCAGCAGTGGAGGGCGTGTGAGCAGTGCATGTGCAAACGAGCCTCACTCATAGAGTACGGTGTGTGCACTCAGCTCAGTTGGCATGCGAGGCTGCTGCTGTCCCCCCCCTCGCCTTCTACTCCACCTTCTCTCACATCACCGGTTCTCTCCCTGCCTCCGCCTGTTCACTTGAGCGCTCTGTGCCGGGGTCGCACTGTTTGACACCCGTTTCTCTCTCGCTCTCTCTTTCCTGCACTGCCCGCACCCTCTCCTCCCCTCCACGCCCCCTTGTCCCCCCTCTTCCCCCATGCCCCCCTGTCCGTCTGCAGCGGTGTCAGTGGCGCGGTCAGCAGTGATAGGGCCGGACACGCTGCTGGGGGAGGGAACAGTGGTGGCGGAGAGGGCGGTGGTGCGCGGGTCAGTGCTGGGCGCGCACTGCCTGGTGGGCGAGGGGGCCGTGGTGGACGGCAGCTTCCTCTGGGGCGGCGTCACGGTGGGCGCGGGCGCCGTGGTGCGGCATGCAGTGCTGTGTGACGGCGTGCAGGTCATGGCGGGGGGGACTGTGCACCCCGGCTGCGTGCTCTCCTTCGATGTGAGCGTGCTGCTGCTGGGATGGCAAATAGGCCAGGGGGAAGGGGGTGGGCATGTGGGCATGTGGGGATTGGGGGATGTGTGGCTGTGGGTGTGGGCATGTGTGAATGTGGGGATGTGGGGATGTGGTGGTGCGGCACGTGGTGCTGTGCGATGGCGTGCAGGTCATGGCGGGTGGAACGCTCAACCCCGGTTGCTTGCTCTCCTTTGATGTGCGTGGCTCGTGCTGTGGGCATGTGGGCATGTGGGGATGTGGCGATGTGGCGATGTGGCGATGTGGCGATGTTGGGATGTGGGGATGGGGGGATGGATGTGGGGATGGGGGTATGGATGTGGGGATGGGGGGATGGATGTGGGGATGCGGGGATGCGGGGATGCTGGGATGCGTGATGTGTGCGTGCACACAGACATGCGATTCTCTCTCACCCGCTTGACCCCTCTGTCCTTCCCTTCTCCCATAGTAGGTGGTGGTGGCAGCCAATCACGTGGTGCCAGCTGGCACGCGCATAGCGAGGGAGCAGCAGCCGGAGGAGGAGGGCAGCGATGATGAGAACACAGAAGGGCATGGCATGGGTGAGAACACAGAAGGGCATGGCATGGGTGAGTGAGTTGATTGGGCGGGTATAGGGCATGTGTGAGAGCAGGAATGTAGGGAGATTGGTGGGATGGGATGGGTGTGGGTGGCAATGGCATGTCAGGGTGTGATGATGATGATGAGAACAAGGAGCAGCGAAGATGAGGCCACCATTCAACTGGATGTACATGTGTTTTTGTTATGCTATGACCCTCACTTGTGGCTTTGAATTTGTCAACAACATAATATGTTGGCAAATACGATATCTAGTGTTGTCTCAACCCATCTATTACCTTGTTCCTCCGTTTTCTGTTGCTGTTTTTGTGTGCTGCGTGTGTCATGGACCCTTGTGTTCTCTCTCCCTCGCCTCTCCTCCACGCGGCATCAGCCCCACCTGCAGTGCGAAGGAAGCAGGGCAAGCGAGGTGACGAGGAGGATGAGGATGATGAGGAGGAAGAGGATGAGGAAGAGGAGGATGAGGAGGAGGGAGAGGAGGAGAAGGAGGAGCTATCAGATGAAGACGAGGGGCCATGTGATGTGCAAGCTGTGAGTGCCATGTGATGTGCAAGCTGTGAGTGCCATGTGATGTGCAAGCTGTGAGTGCCATGTGATGTGCAAGCTGTGAGTGCCATGTGATGTGCAAGCTGTGAGGGCCATGTGATGTACAAACTGTGAGTGCCATGTGATGTGCAAGCTGTGAGTGCCATGTGATGTACAAACTGTGAGTGCCATGTGATGTGCAAGCTGTGAGTGCCATGTGATGTACAAACTGTGAGTGCCATGTGATGTGCTGACATTGGTCATGTTGTGGCATGTGCATGTTTTTCAATGTCCATGTGTCCGTACATCCATGTGTCCATCTGCTGTATTCCTGCATGCATGGCCAGACGGGATGTGATAGCATGCCATGGCTTGGCACAGCATGGCATGGTGGTCTCGGTTTGCCCTTTTCCACATTTCTCCTTCTCACCCCCATCACAGCACCTTCCTGCTTCCCTCTGCGCACCCCAACAGTTGAGCTGAGGAAACAAGCTTCGCTTTTTCCCCAAACCCTCCACCCCTCCCGCCATTTCTCCATCCCCTCTCCCTCCCCTCCACCCCCTGCACCCCTCCCAACTTCCCCCTCCGCCCGTCCCCCCCACAGGTGGGCGAGGGCGGGAGGGGCTTCGCCTGGCCGCCCAGAACCCCCGCTGCAGCAGCCGTGGTGCGGCGGCAGTCGCTCGCGCCAATCACAGCGCTCGAACTCGCTGAGCTTGCAAGACTGGCGATTGGACGGGAGGAGGGCGAGGGGGAGGGGGGGGAGGAGGAATCAGGAAGGGAAGGAGGGGCGGCCTTGGTGGGAGGGGAGGAGGAGGAAGAGGAAGACGAGGAGGAGGAGGATGGGGAGGACGAGTTTAGCAAAGAGGTGAGCTGTGTGGGATGGAGGGGTGGAGGGAAGGGTGGAGGAGGGGATGGAGGGGAGAGAAGATGGGGTGAGGGCCGGGAGGGATGGGACTAGAGGGTGGCAGGGCGATGGGACTAGAGGGTGGCAGGGCGATGGGACTAGAGGGTGGCAGGGCGATGGGACTAGAGGGTGGCAAGGCGATGGGACTAGAGGGTGGCAGGGCGATGGAGAGGGGAGAAGGGAGGAAAATGCAATGAGGAAGGGAGGCGCGAGAGAGGGTGCAAGGCATTAGCAATGCATGTGCAATGGGGGTTGGTGGATGCTTGTAGGATGGATGATGACAGCATGTGGTGCCATGGGCATGTGGTGCCATGGGCATGTGGTGCCATGGACCTGACGCTTAGCCTGTGGCATGTTTGCCTTTTTTTAATATATATCCATGAGTGTCTTTATGGTGCATGGATGCATTGCATCGCATGGCATGGCATGGCACGGCACTGCATGTCACCTCATGGCATGGCATGGCATGGCATGGCATGGCAGGTGGAGGAGATGTTCAAGCGGGCCGTGGCGGAGGGGGTGGCGCAAGACAACGTGGTGCTGGAGGTCAACGCGCTCAAGTGAGTCAACGCGCTCAAGTGAGTCAGTGTGGTCAACCTGAGTCAACGTGGTCAAAGTGGGTCATTGCGGTCAACTCAAGTCAACGCCCTCAAGTAAGTCAGTGCTATGTTCCGTCTCAGCTTCTTCTCCCTGCCCACGCAGAGCGCAGCTTCCACGCCTCGCTCCACGCGCATCCCTTTCCACACACCCTCTTATCATATCCTTCCCTCCTTCCCTTTCCCCCACCCTCCCTCCCACTCGCCTCCATCTCCCCTGTCGCCAACGCGTGCCAGGCTGGCATACAACCGGTCCTTTGCGGACTGTGCGGGGGCCATGTTCCGAGGCATGCTCAACCTCGCGGCCTCACAAGCTGCCCCCGGGGCACCCACCAGTGAGTGCACGCACCTCGGCAGACCAGCGCCATCTGTTATTCCACCCATCCACACCCATCTGCCTCGCACACCACCCTATGCCACCCACCTGCGAGCTCAGCTGCCTGACTGGTCACCCTTTGGCTGCCACGACTTTACAAGGTACCACCCTCAACTCAACTCTGGGGCTTTTTACCAAATTTACCTATCTGCCCATCCCGCCCAGGGGCGCCCACCTCTCAGCCCCAACTGCTGGATTTTGTTTAGAATACTCTAAAGAACCCTGCAAATCCTTGGTTCCCACCCCGGCCCTGCTCTATCACTCCTTGTCTGCTCACCCTGTTCCCCCACCCCGCCCCCCACTCTGCCCGCCCGCCATCCCTCCCCCCCCTGCCCCCGCCCTGCCCTCATCCGCCCTGCCCCCGTCCGCCCCGCTCAGAGGAGCTGCTGGCGTCCACACGTGCCGTGGTGACTCGGTGGACGTCGCTTCTGAGAAGGTTCCTCAAGGGCACCGACGACGAGGTGTGTGGCAGAAGGGGGATGGGGATGAGTTCAGGGAAGAGGGAGAGGAGAGGGGGTGAGACATCTGGTGGGGGAGGGGATGAGGGAGGGCATGGGGGTGGGGGAGCGGGACGGGGCGGAGGGTCGTTGGCGGCTAGGGGGTAGGTGGAAGGTGGGCAGGGAAAAGAGGGAGAAGCACCGCCATTCCAGAAAGGTTTTCAATGCCACTTCCTCTACCCATTTCTTACCCATCCTCTCTACCCATCCCTGCCCCTTCCCATCTCTGCCATTCCCCATTTCTTGCTCTCACCACCAACCCCTTGTTGGAATTAGCCTCCACTTTGTGTGTTAGCCTTGAAAGTTGTAGGGCTTACAAATGTTAGTAAGTTTAGTTTTGGTTGGGTTGGGTGTAGACTTTTTCATCCCCAACCTATCCAACCCTATCCAAACCAAACCATTCAAATTCTCCTGGGATTCCTTTCTGATTGCATCTTATCCACCCAACCTAGTTTCTGGTACTTAAGGTCATGTATGAGACTCTCCAATCAATCGAATCAACCCTTTCCTGACACCCCTCACGTCTTCCCCCTCTCACCCAATTTTTTCTCCCTCTCACTGTCACCACTCCACCTTCCCCCCTTTCGCGCCCTTCCTTTCATCCCCCTTTCACCATCTCCCCCCCTCTTCCTCCCCCCTCCTCCTCGGGCAGGTGGAGGTGCTGCTGACATTCGAGGAGGTGTGTAACGAGTCCCGCCCCGAGTTCGCGCCCATATTTGTCAATGTGAGTGCTGCCAAAAAGTGCCGCCCACAAGTGCCATTCAGAAGTATCTTTTGCGGTGGCCTGTGTGAGAATCCTGGCAGCCACTGGGTTGGCCATCCGCCTCTTGCTTCTGTGCCTTGCTGCTGGCACCTCCACGCTCCTCTCGCTCATTCATCATCCCTCGCTCATTCATCATCCCTCGCTCATTCATCATCCCTCGCTCATTCATCATCCCTCGCTCATTCATCATCCCTCGCTCATTCATCATCCCTCGCTCATTCATCATCCCTCGCTCATTCATCATCCCTCGCTCATTCATCATCCCTCGCTCATTCATCATCCCTCGCTCATTCATCATCCCTCGCTCATTCGTCATCCCTCGCTCATTCATCATCCCTCGCTCATTCATCATCCCTCGCTCATTCATCATCCCTCGCTCATTCATCATCCCTCGCTCATTCATCATCCCTCGCTCATGCATCATCCCTCGCTCATTCATCATCCCGCGCTCATTCATCATCCCTCGCTCATTCATCATCCCTCGCTCATTCATCATCCCTCGCTCCACTCTCTCCCCATGTATGGCCCGCCTCTTCCCACGTATGCTCCACCCGCCTCTTCCCACGTATGCTCCACCCGCCTCTTCCCACGTATGCTCCACCCGCCTCTTCCCACGTATGCTCCACCCGCCTCTTCCCACGTATGCTCCACCCGCCTCTTCCCACGTATGCTCCACCCGCCTCTCCTTTCACTGTGTTTCGCTAAACCCTCGTTCCGCTCTCTCCCCAGGTCCTCGAAACGCTGTACGACAGGGACATGGCGAGCGAGGAGGCCGCCATGCCACAACACCCTCTCCTCAATTTTCTCCGCCCCCTTCCCTCTCCTCCTCACTCCCACCCCCAGGTAGAGGCGCTGTATGACAGGGACATATCATGCGAGGAGGCGGTCATGGGTCATGGCCGTTCCTCCCATTCCCCCCATCTCTCTCCCGCTCCTTGGCTCCATTCCCTCCCCCTCAGGTGCTCGAAGCCCTGTACGACCGGGACATAGGGAGTGCGGAGGCCGTCATGGCGGCACACTCCCCCCAATTCTCCCCCCTCCACTTTTGCTGCTTCCCCCGCTGCTCACTCCCTCGCAGGTGCTAGAGGCGCTGTACGACAGGGACATAGTGAGCGAGGAGGCCGTCATGGCGTGGGCCGATGAGAAGCAGTTCGCCGACGCCGCTGACAAGGTGTTTGTCGAGCGATCCGCCGCGTTCATCAAGGTGAGATGAACGGTGCAAATCGAATCCTGCTGTGGTGTGGGCGTAACCCTCCCCCGTTTGTGGCACTGCTGCGTGTGGGACTGAGGCAGTGTGAGTGTGTGTGTGGGACTGGGGCAGTGTGAATGTGTGTGTGGGACTGGGGCAGTGTGAGTGTGTGTGTGGGACTGGGGCAGTGTGAGTGTGTGTGTGGGACTGGGGCAGTGTGAGTGTGTGTGGGACTGGGGCAGTGTGAGTGTGTGTGTGGGACTGGGGCAGTGTGAGTGTGTGTGGGACTGGGGCAGTGTGAGTGTGTGTGGGACTGGGGCAGTGTGAGTGTGTGTGTGGGACTCGGGCAGTGTGAGTGTGGGTGGGACTGGGGCAGTGTGAGTGTGTATGTGGGACTGGGGCAGTGTGAGTGTGTGTGTGGGACTGGTGCAGTGTGAGTGTGTGTGTGGGACTGGGGCAGTGTGAGTGTGTGTGTGGGACTCAAGCAGTGTGAGTGTGGGTGGGACTGGGGCAGTGTGAGTGTGTGTGTGGGACTGGGGCAGTGTGAGTGTGTGTGTGGGACTGGGGCAGTGTGAGTGTGTGTGTGGGACTCGGGCAGTGTGAGTGTGGGTGGGACTGGGGCAGTGTGAGTGTGTGTGTGGGACTGGGGCAGTGTGAGTGTGTGTGGGACTGGGGCAGTGTGAGTGTGTGTGGGACTGGGGCAGTGTGAGTGTGTGTGTGGGACTGGGGCAGTGTGAGTGTGTGTGTGGGACTGGGGCAGTGTGAGTGTGTGTGTGGGACTGGTGCAGTGTGAGTGTGTGTGTGGGACTGGGGCAGTGTGAGTGTGTGTGTGGGACTCGGGCAGTGTGAGTGTGGGTGGGACTGGGGCAGTGTGAGTGTGTGTGTGGGACTGGGGCAGTGTGAGTGTGTGTGGGACTGGGGCAGTGTGAGTGTGTGTGGGACTGGGGCAGTGTGAGTGTGTGTGTGGGACTGGGGCAGTGTGAGTGTGTGTGTGGGACTCGGGCAGTGTGAGTGTGGGTGGGACTGGGGCAGTGTGAGTGTGTGTGTGGGACTGGGGCAGTGTGAGTGTGTGTGTGGGACTGGTGCAGTGTGAGTGTGTGTGTGGGACTGGGGCAGTGTGAGTGTGTGTGTGGGACTCGGGCAGGGTGAGTGTGGGTGGGACTGGGGCAGTGTGAGTGAGTGAGTGTGTGTGGTGCTGGCAGCACGGGTACCATGAAGCGTTGAAGATTCCATGCTTCACAGGAAGGGCGATGGTTCTCGTTAATCTTGCCAGCCCCCCTCTTGTGCTGCCCCTACTCTGCCCTGTTGTGCTGCCCCTACTCTGCCCTGTTGTGCTGCCCCTACTCTGCCCTGTTGTGCTGCCCCTACTCTGCCCTGTTGTGCTGCCCCTACTCTGAACTGTTGTGCTGCCCCTACTCTGCCCTGTTGTGCTGCCCCTACTCTGCCCTGTTGTGCTGCCCCTACTCTGCCCTGTTGTGCTGCCCCTACTCTGCCCTGTTGTGCTGCCCCTACTCTGCCCTGTTGTGCTGCCCCTACTCTGCCCTGTTGTGCTGCCCCTACTCTGCCCTGTTGTGCTGCCCCTACTCTGCCCTGTTGTGCTGCCCCTACTCTGCCCTGTTGTGCTGCCCCTACTCTGCCCTGTTGTGCTGCCCCTACTCTGCCCTGTTGTGCTGCCCCTACTCTGCCCTGTTGCTGCCCTACTCTGCCCTTCGCCTGCCCTCCCCCCCCCTTTCACTGCACTCTTCCACTCCATCTCTCCCTGGCCCCATGTCCCGTGTTCTTCATCCCTATCTCACTCTTGGCTCATTCGCCCTTGCCGCTAGCCGTCCTTGTGCCACCACTCCAGTTCACCCCGACCCCCACTGTGCTTGTCCTAACTTCCTTGCTCCCCTCTGCTGCTCTTCACCCGCTGCTGCTTTTCACCCGCTGCTGCTCTTCGCCCGCTGCTGCTCCTCCCTCTGCTCTCTGCTCTGCCCTCTCTGCTGCTCTGCCTTCTAATGCTGCACCGTCCCTTCTGCTGCCTGTCTGGCCTCCACAGTGGCTGAAGGAAGCCGAGGAGGAGGAGAGTGATGATGAGTGAATGTCCGCCTTCACAAGCAGCGCAGTCACACAACCATCAGGGAACATAGGATAGGAGGGAGCACAGCGGCTCGCACGACAGTTGAGGTTAAGTGATCCAAGGCACAATACATGCACAATATATTGAGCATGGATTGATGTGCAAGGGTGTCACATCATGTGATGATGTGACCATATTGTCAATGTGAAAGCGACTTGAGATGAAGTGGATATGGTGGTGTGTCTCCATGTTCAGACGTCACCTGGATTCAAACTGTGTTCCCCCAAAAAACGTTCTGATACAGTAAAACTTGCCAGAGTATGTTACGGGTAGTTTCTCAAACTGATATGGTACCTGTACCGTATATTTAAACCAGAAAATGAGAGCTCGGTCGGAAGTTACCGTAATATACTTGCCAAGTGCAACAAGAACTCACATAGCCAAGGAGTTTTGAGGGCTATTGCATGGGACAGGGTTCATCAAGCCGGTCTGGCGTAACTACCAGCCTATGGCAGAGAAAAAGGGAGGAAGATGAGTGTGTTTCGCAGATGCGCCTTACTTGAATCACTTCATTCAATTGAACTACGGTAGTTACTGGTATAGCTACTGGTAGTGTTACCATAGCGGCTGCCATCATCCTAGGCATACAGAGAGACAACAACAAGACCCAACCTCCACATCTCATACCTACACTAAGTCAATGCTGCTACCTCAACTACGGTGCTAGTTAGTACGACTCTACACCTGTGCTGCAGAATGAAGGAACAATACTTGGGGATGCAGGCCACATTTCTCCTGTTCCTCCAGCTGCTGCACTCATCCACCAGTTCACAGTATTTGGCATATGCGCTCCTTCAGCATGGGCGGGCCCGTGTCTCTTCAGCTGCATGGAAACCCGCTCGCCAAGCAGAAACATGCCTGAGCGTGAGAGCACCGACAAGGGCCCATTATTCCTATGGTCTGGACAGCGCCTTTGTCCCTTACAATCCCTGCAGGGATGTAACGCTTCTCCTACAGTGAAGCATGGCCTGTCTTTCCTTGAGCGGCTTCATGTTCGTATCTGGTAAATACAGCTCCATGGGTGTGTGTCTGCTACGCTGATTCCACTGCCGTGTCACCCATGACCCCTATGACCCCTAAGAAGATACAGGAGTGGGCCTTAAGAAGATTCCACGGGGGTGTCGCGGGGCAGCGTGTTCCAGTTCGTTGAGCAGTTCCGCCCCTTCCACTCAAACCCCCGCTCCTCCAACCCCTCCCGGGCAGCCACGGGCAGCGCCGAAAAGAAGTCCCAGTCAGCTGCGAGCTGCTTGAGCACGGGCAGCTTGTTCCCGAGCCCCGGGCAGCAGTTGGCGTGCACGGTGAGCAGCGAGGAGAGCGAGTGGCCCATCTCACAGAAGCCCCCGAACTGATTGGTGTGCAGGTAGCGCAGCAGCAGCGGCGAGGCCACGCGCGTGAAGGGGTTGGCCTCGGGGCGGATCCAGTTAAACACCTGCTGTATGCGGAACTGCGGGCACCTGGGGGGTGGAAGGAGAGTGGGGGGGGGGGGGGGAGGGGGGGGGGGGGGGTAGGCACACGAAGAATGATGCAACATCACATCGATAATCACGCACAGGGTGGGTCCAGTTGAACACCTGCTGTATGCGGAACTGCGGGCACCTGGGGGGTGGAAGGAGAGTGGGGGGGGGGGGGTAGGCACACGAAGAATGATGCAACATCACATCGATAATCACGCACAGGGTGGGTCCAGTTGAACACCTGCTGTATGCGGAACTGCGGGCACCTGGAGGGGCGGGTGAGGGTGTCGTGCCAAGATTAGGTGGGATTGTGTACAAAAGCACTTGCAAGCAGATCAATGCACCTGCGGCACCCATACCAGCGCCCCTGCACACAGCCACTCCGCCAGCCAGTCCTGGAAGAACCACAGCATACGGCTGTTAACCCGGGCGGCACACAATTCCCCATTACCCACGACAGACTCAAGCCATTCCAACACCTACCTTTCCCTTCCTCTGCTCACCTCCTGTGCCATGCGAGCCAGTCTTGAAAGAAGCGCAGAGTGCGTGTGTTGGCACGGGCGGCATAGAACCCGCCGTTGGCCACCACGGAGCGCGGGTTGGGCGACCACCAGTCAGCCGACATCTGCAGGTCGTGTGGGCGGCGCCAGAGCAGCGGCAGCGAGTTGCGCAGCCAGAGGATGTCGGAGTCCGTGAAGAGCACGTCGTAGCCCAGTGATAGCATGTGAGTCACCACCGCCACCTTGCGCCACACCTGTTGGTTAGGGCAGCAGGAGAGGAATCAGGTTTGTCAGAGGGATGTGAAGCATGGTTAAAGGGCAGGCAAAGCCGGGGGAGTGGGCTGCGCAGGCAGAGGATGTCGGAGAAGGTGAAAGGCACGTGGTAGCCCAGCGATAGCATGCTCGCCACCACCTGCACCTTGCACCACACCTTCACGGCAGTGGCAATGGCGAATCCGAGATGCAAGAGCACAAGGGGAGGACGGTGTGTGTGAGAGATTTGAGGCATGGGTGTTGGGGACGGGCAGAGGATGTGGGAGTTGGTGAAGAGCGCGTGGTAGCCCAGCCCAGCATGGTTGTCACCACCGCCACCTTGCTTGCGCCACACGTGTTGGGTGGGACAGCAGAAGGCGACGTGTATGCGTGTGAGAGGGAGATCAGGTGTGTCACTGGCGAGCTACCATGCTTGCTACCACCAGCCGCTTGCGCTATCTGTGAGTGGGAATGGCACGGCCGGATGGCAACATAGAGGAGGAGCCAGCCAGCCAGCCAGCCCGCTAGCATGAGGAATGTCAAGTGTGACAGATAAGCAGGAAAGGGTGTGTTTGGCCCGAGGAACCTATAGCGTGACAGGGAAGGGGTTGATAAGCCTGCTGCTATAATTAGCCCTTCACAACTCCCCAGCCCTCCGCCCCCACTGTGTCACCAAACGCCGGTGCAGCTGGAAAGCGTGAGTGGGTGGTGCATGGGTGCGGGGTGCCATGTGTGAGAGCCGTCCCGTTCAGGAGCATTCCACGCCACTCGGCCACATGCACGCCTGCCACTATTCCAACTCAAATATTCATACGCACCACGAAATTGAGATCCCACGCACCAGGTGTATATAAGCGCGCGTCATGAAGTGTTTCTGTCCGCCGCCCAGGTCCTCTCTGTGAGGGGCGTCCTCCTGCCAGTCCATGTAGCAGTTGAGACCCATCGCGCAGCACGCCTCGAAGCTCGCGTCGTCGTACGCCACCACCACCAGCCGCGCCACCACCTCTCCCAGCGCAGAGCTATACGCGCCCTCTTCCGCCCCCGCCTCCCCCTCCCCGTCTCCGTCTCCGCCCGTCTGATACCTCTCCGCTGTCCTCCGCTCGCTTTCCCTCTCCATCCCTTCAACCCCTGCGCGCGTCCGGATATTATCTCCGCCCCTCCCCTCCTCTCCTCCCCTTCGCTCCCCCTCCGCCTTCCTCTGCTCGCGCGCGCTCCGCTCCGCGCGCTCGACGGCGCGCAGGCGCGCGAGGAAGAAGCGCATCATGGGCGCCCACGCCTCGTTGAACGACACCACGATCACGGACCGCCGCGCGGCGCGCGCCAGCAGCTGCGCGGGCGACGCCGACTCCGCGTCCTCCGCGAACTCCTCGCCCGCCGCCGCCATGTCGTCGGCGATGGTCATGCCGCCCCCGCCGCCTGCAGAAGCGCCGTTGGTGGCGGCAGCAGCGCTAATAGCGGACTGCACGGCCGCCTCGAGGACGGACTGGAGCGTTCTGATGGGCCCGTGCGGTCGAGCGGATGAAAGAATGTGAGGATGGGGGCGTGCGGGGATGCGGGGATGCGGGGAGGCGGGGATGTGAGATTGCGGGGATGTGGGGATGATGGGATGTACGCGACCGAAGGCGGTGAAGAAGGGGCAACAGACAAAATTCAACCATGACTAAAAGGTGTGGCAAGCGAAAAAAGGTGTCACATCCCTGCGAAACCGGAAAGCGTGTCTTTGTTCCATATGATGTGCGTGTGTCGCATGCGCACGTGCGTCCGTACCCGTGTGACTCACCTGCACTTTGAGCAGATCGGGGCCTTCCCTTGTTGCCGTTCTCCCATCCCCCCAACGGCGTCCATCGCTCTGCTCGATGGCGCACCCCTCGGGGAGTTTCCCCGGAGCCGCGCAGGCCCGTCGGCGCTGCTCCCCCCCGACCACCCACGAAGCACCGACTCCGGAGCTTCTCCGCGCGAGGCGCTCCGCGCAGCGGGCGGGGACGCGCAATACTCCTCGCGGGTGAGCGGAGGCAGCGGCGCGGGGGTGGCGCGGGAGGAGGCGGCGGAGGTGGCGGAGCGGACGCGCAGGTGGAGGCGATTAAAGCCGGAGAAGAAAAAGAGGCACGTGAGGGACGACGCGATCAGCAGCCATGCGAATAGCGACTGGCGGCCCTTTAGCGACGCGATTGGGAAGAGCGAAACAGTGCAGAGGACGAAGGCTAGCGGGGGATTGGCCGAGGCCGAGGGTGACAGTAGCGGGTGTTCTATTCTGTGCAGGAGATGCATATGCGGGTTCGCCGCGCCTGTGAAGGAGTGCGATCGGTGCATTCGCGATCGCGAAACGGCGCTGTTTCCGCCGTACGGCGTGCCACTGCTGCCGTGATCGGGATGCACTGCGTGGCTGGGAGTGGAGCACTCCATCGCGAGGACGATGCGGGTTTTAAAGTATCGCCAGCATTAACCAAAACTATATCACCTCATTCGCTGGAACGACTGGATTGGTCACTAAGATCTCAAACCTAATTTCACCTCAAAGTCCTTCAGCGAAAATGCGTCGGAAGCAGAAGCAGAAAAAACAAATCAGCACGAGCTGGAATCGTGAGCCAAAAGCTTGGATTTGGGGGTTCAGTTCAGTACAGTCGATGCTCAGCCTATCACAAAACATTTGCTCCTGACAATTAGAAATTTAGTCACTCGCGAACGTTTTGCCCGTGAGTGACTAAATTGATCATTGTGCCGATTTCAGGGTACAGTCACCAAGTTGAGGAAGAAAAACATCTACAGTTCATAAACAACAACGGTTGCCCGTCATCAGAGAAGTTAACCTGGTTACGAAATTAAAGCGCTGGACTCGATTCACGTTGCAAATTCATTTTACAGTCACATTTTTGCCCGTGGCGACAAGGGCGAACGTGGCGAATTGTCTCAAACTCGTTTCACGCACATGCCGCCCGCCTACCTGGTGTTCTTGAAATGGGCACCGACTGTATATTGGATTCAGCTGACTACCTGCTGCAGTTGCGAGACCCCAAACAGATGTTCGGGACCTGCCACCCAGGCCGAGTCGCAGTCGCTTTCCCATTAGAAATGCGATTTGGCTCAAAATTCCATGGTCAGATATGTCAGGCGCGCTTTGGGAAATAATGTAACAGTTGTGCAACAATCTGGTTCCTACAGTTTGGATGTGTTATCCTTTCTTTGTGTCATTCCTCTTTACCTCATATGATAGTTCATCCAACCTAACGACTATTCAACCCGTTACCACCCTTGATTATTTTCCCTTCCACTGATACTGGATGGACTGCTCCACATGCCACGGTGGGTAAACCACGGCCCAACCATACGCCTCGACTTTCTGGAAAAATCTTTATGCAGATAAGAATGACAACAAAACACTACAACATAACACAACCAGCACAGCAGTAGAGTTACGTTCCTACCTCGTGCCAACCACCGTACACAGGCCTTGATGCGGCCAATGACACGTGTTGACTTGGTACGGGGTAGGAACGCACCCTCAAGCACGACAATGTGCTACCCTAACCTGCCCCACATCTGGAAGACATGCAGTGCCATCCACGAGTCTATGGCAACAGCTGGCATGCAGTGGTGAGCGCCCCAAGGAGCGCAAAGCAGGCAGCCCCAGTGGCAAGCGACGGTGGTTGGTGGTGATGCGGGTGGGTGTCACGATACAAGTGGGGTCATACTGCCTGCACTGCTGCCAGGGATGAGTAGTCGTATTGCTCTGGCGTGGGGAGATGGGGTGGCGAGGTTTGGGGGAGGAGAGGGATCGAAGATGATACGATTCCAAGTAAGAGAGGAGACGAAAGGAGAGAAGAGGAGAGGAGAGGAGAGGAGAGGAGAGGAGAGGAGGGGGAGGAGAAGATAAAAGACAAAGAGAGGAGCACCAGACAAGATATGGGATAAGGAGCGGGGTAAATTAGGTAGCAGGTGGGTAAAGGCACCATCTACATATGCCCCACTGCCTACTCGCTGCCACTTGCTGCAGTGCCACTGACACGCCCACTGCCATGCCCGCTGCCATGCCCACTCACTGCCTGCTTGCTTTACTACATCCGACAGGCTCCAGACTGCCTGACAGGCACTCACTTGAGGCCTTGGAGCAGGAGGCGGAGCCAAGGTTGCCCCAGTCAGAGGAGGAGACGCAGCCCTTGAGGCAAGCCACGGTGTAGGGCGCGGTGGTGCTGGCGTGGTAGTGGTAGAACAAAGGCTCGCCGCTGCTGCCGTCGCCCACATGCCCCCCACACTCGTCCACCCCTGCCGGCAGCGCTCCCCCTGCTCCCCGCGGGCCGAACAGCGGAATGCCGTCCGCCAGGAAGCCCAGCAAGGGCGAGTGCTGGGTGGGGGCGTCCTGCCAGAAGGACGAGCTGCCAGGGGGGAGGGGAGGGAAAAGAGAGGGGAGGGAGAAGAGGGAGATGGACGGTTGGGTTATGAGGAGGAATGATGCGAGGTACATGGCATGGGTCAGCGCATGGTGCTTGGAACAAACAGTTGAAGCGGGGTTGACTATGGAAGGCGCAGAGGTTGCGGGCGGAGAATGGGAGAACGTGAGAGTGGAGAAACGGTGAAATGGCAATGGGAGAATAGGGGAAAGGGGGAACAGGGGAACGAGGAAATGGGAACGGGGGAAGGTGGGGACGGGGGACGCACTTGCAGAGGTTGAAGGCGGTGGAGCGCGAGGAGGAGATGGCAGAGGGGTTGGCGAGGCCGGGAGCGACGTGGTAGTGGTACTGGCCCGAGGGCGTGGGGTGCCCCCCACACGCGTCAAACGTGGACCCCTCGTACTGCAGCGCGTCCCGACCCAGGGCGTCACACGCACTGCCAGGGGGCGAGGGAGAGAGGGAGAGACGGGTATGGGATATGAGGGCGTGAGGTGTGCGTGCAGGGAGAGCGATGAGGGCAGCGGCGAGCAGCAGAGCAGCATGGGGGCGTGGGCACGGGGAAGCATGGGCGGCACAGTGGGGAATGAGATGGTGCACAAAATCAAATGTCAGCCTGCCAAACTCCAAGTCCTTGTGAGGCCACTACCCCCTTGTGTCATACCCGCCCTTGTGCTGCCCTTACCCTGTGCTACCCCTGCACCCTCCTGACCTGTAGAAGGGCACGCCGTTGAGGGCGAAGCCGATGGGCCCCATCTTGCAGGTGCCGTTGAGGGCGACGGGGATGGCGGAGGAGGCGAGCGTGGGGGCGAGCGGCACGGCGAAAGACAGCGCCTGGTGCACTGGCGCGTACAGCGTGGCGTGCACCCGCCATGCGTACCCCGGACACCCGTTGCTCTCCATCACCCTGCCATGGCCGAGCAGGGGGAACAGGGCAGGGGGAGAGGGCAGGGCGAACAAGGCAGGAGTGTTAGGGTGAGGGAAAGGAGGAAGGGGGGTCAGAAGAACAGGTGAAATGGCTTGAGCGGGCGTGCAGAGTGGCAGGGAAAAGGGGCACACCTCTTGCCATTGCTGCTCGTGAGCTTGGCGCTCCTGCTGCTGCTGCTGTTGCCACACGCACTCCCACCCGATGACCCGCTGCCACCCCCCATGCCTCCTCCGCCGCCCATGCCGCCGCCGCCCGTGCCTCCCCCGCCCATTCCCCCTCCGCCCATGCCTCCTCCGCCCATGCCTCCTCCGCCCATGCTTCCTCCGCCCATGCTTCCTCCGCCCATGCTTCCTCCGCCCATGCTTCCTCCGCCCATGCCTCCTCCGGCGCCCATGCCTCCCCCGCCCATTCCCCCTGCGCCCATGCTTCCTCCGCCCATGACTCCCCCACCCATATTTCCTCCGCCCATGCTTCCTCCGCCCATGCCTCCTCCGCCCATGCTTCCTCCGCCCATGCTTCCTCCGCCCATGCTTCCTCCGCCCAAGCCTCCTCCGGCGCCCATGCCTCCCCCGCCCATTCCCCCTGCGCCCATATTTCCTCCGCCCATGCTTCCTCCGCCCATGCTTCCTCCGCCCATGCCTCCTCCGCCGCCCATGCTTCCTCCGCCCATTCCCCCTGCGCCCATGCTTCCTCCGCCCATGCCTCCCCCGCCCATCCCCCCTCCGCCCGCACTCCCCGGTTGTCCCCTCATCCCGCCACTTCCTTGCGAGCCAAACCCGGCCTGGCCGCCCTGCCCGCTCTGCCCACCGCTCGACGCGCCACTTCCGCCTCCGCCGCTGGTCTGGGGGGGGCGGAAGAAGGACCAGCTACCGCCTGTTCCCTATCCCCCCACCAAGCCGCTGAACCTTCCCGCGAAACGCGGAAGGCCGAGCGAGCGCGCGCTGCACGCGGCGTGATCGACACCCGCGAAGCAAAGGAGCGCGACGAGCGCGAGTGCGGGGACGACGCGGGACGACGCGAGGCGAGGCGCCATCATGGCGGACGGCGCGGAACGCTAAAAGAATAGCGAGTAATAAGAAAAGTTTTTTCTGGAATGTCGCAGGTGCAACAAATCGAACCCTGTTTCGACTTGAAAGCAAGGAGGGAGGCGAATGCAAGAAGGCTGAGAGGCAGCGCTGAGAAATGCGTCCAGCGAGGCCGCTCTTTGTACTTCCCCTGCCATCGTCGCTGCTGCCGTGCGCCCAAGGCGCTCGACGAGCACGCATTAGGAGAAATTGTTGCGTTGGTTGACTATTGGGCGAGGCGAGCAGGAAGATCTGGGAGTCAACGCGAATCCAGTCAACGTGGAAAGGATGGGTAAGGGCAGGTGAAATGAGGGGAACGTGGTGCGGAACTGTTGACTGACGGTTGGGCGAAAGTTGGCGAGGAGGTCAGCGAGTCAACTCTCGTTAAGGAGCTTCTTGAGAATTCAATACAAATTATGTCTACATGCATGTCAAGTTATAAAACTTGCAACCGTCGCTAGATGCTCCATGTTTTCTTTACCCTCTTGTTCTCCTCCTTTGTGTGCGACCTCAGCCCTTGCTGAACCGCATCATGAGCTCAAAACCCCTCCCATCATGAGTCAATGCCTGCGCCGCTGCTAAAGGTATTGCTTTCCGAATCACATGTCCATGGCTGGCTATTAAAAAAAAAAAACTAGTATGAATTTTGGGGGGGGGTAAGGGCGTGTTACATTTTTCATACCGTCCGGACAATTGTGTGGTTACGGAACTCGTTTAATCTCGGCAGTGGGTTCGTCACGATCTGAACGACGTCGCATTCTTCGTCTTGCATCTATACGACATCGCGTTGGTCGCAATGCGACCGTGCGACGTCGCAATCTTCGCACGCGTCCGGACAGCCGTCTGGACTTTCGGTGACTTAAAATAATGTAACACGCCCTAAAGCCCAGACCCAGACCACTCTCAATGCAACTTTCTGAGGGGCTGAGAGAGGCTGTAGTTTTATGAGGAACGCATTCCTGAGAGGACGCAGACTACTGGCAAGGGAAGGCAAGTCACTGGGGAGGTCTGGAGTGGGGTGGGGTGGGGTGAGAGCGGAGGGTTCACCGATCAGTTGAAAGAGGGGAGATATGATCCTTTCAACTTCTTCTGGCGTTTTGCAGCTGCCTCAATCCCATCCAGTTTAGCATTCCTAAGGGGATGCGAATCAGAGTGTGGGCAAGCCACTATGGGAGGGTCGTGGGTTTGATTGCCAAACTGCTTGCATTCAAGCAATAATGCAACAATAGGGGGAAGGGGGGAGATTTCACTGTATTGTTGAGTGAGGCAAGGTGTAAGGAAAATCTCTTTTTCCTTACTTCGCATCCCTGCTCAACGCGTACATCACTGTAGCACCACAGTCAGCACCGTTACCACTCGCAATCCTCGCATCGACAATCCGCCCGCCACTTTCGCACGTCGCACCCCGACCTCACGGCTCGGCGGGTAACCCGCGCTCCGGGCCTCCGCTTTGACACTTTCCCCAACCTCAGTTCCAGGCCCGTCGCGCGACAACCACAGTCCATTACCGTTACCACTGTAGTTTCGCTATATATTCTTCGCCCATGCCTTCGCTCATTGTACTCTTGCTTCGATAGTGCAATTCTCGTTCGATCACTCAATTGCACTCGTAACACTTGGTATTCAGAGCCTACGATCTCTTCTCGGACCGCACCCACACCTTCGCTTCCCCACTATCTCAAATTTTTGGGGGGGGTAGACGTCTCTCAGCGATACAGCACCGCCGCTCGTAGTGCTCTCTCGTAAGCACGCACGGCCACGACTGAGGCTCTCGCTGAGCTCGCCCGACACCCCCGCCATGGCCGAATTCACGCTCGCCACATTGACGCAGGAGCAGCTCGACCGTCTGGTGCGCCAACTCGAAGATTCGGCGCTCGAAATTGCGACGCTCACAGCGGAACGTGACTCCGCGCGTCAGCAATCCACGGTGAACACTCCACCAGCACCACACGCACCAACAAATGCACCTGCGCAATCAGACGAGCCGATCGTCATCTCGTCCGGTACACCAACACAACACGACAGCATGGGACAGCGCTCGGGCGCAGCCAGTGATAGCGCCGCCCAACCAATGCCTGGCATGGGAGGAAACAGGGGCGCGCCAAGCCCGCGGGAGCCTCGCGAAGACCGTCGGCACGTGGAATTCGCAGCGACAAGTGGCGAACAGGCCTTCATGACACCAATGCCACTCAAGCCGCAACGCCCGCCCTGTTTTGACCCAAGCCAACGTGGAGGTCCGACGGTTCAATCGTGGGTCTTCACGATGAACGTTTTTTTCGACGCGAATTACGTCGAGTCGGACGCAGCGAAGATTCGGTATGCCGTTTCGCTGCTAAGGGGCCCCGCGATGGACTGGTGGCGAGTCATCGTGACGTCGCCACGCGCCTACGAGCCACCGTCGCAAGAGGAAGGGCCCACGGGTCCAGCTGTTACCTGGAGTTCATTCTGCGAAACCGCCCAATACAGCACGTGGGATGCGTGGTGCGCAGGGCTTCGGGCGCGCTTCGAGCCGATCGCGGCTTCTATTTCGGCGCGTCAGAGATTGCGCACTTGGCGGCAGCTCGGATCGGTTCAAGATTACACGAGCGGTTTTCTCGCACTTTGCGAGCAAGTCGGCTATATGCACGAAGCGGAGCGGGTGGACCGTTGCATCGGAGGGCTAAAACCAGACATCTCGCACGAAATCATGCTACGCGGGCTCTCGAATTTCAACGAGATTCTCGCGCTCGCCGAGAAAATCGACATCCTACGTCGACCGAGACCGGGGTTCTACCACGGACATCGTCCTCGGGGACCGATCGAGCACGCCACTGTGAACGCCGTTGCGACAAATGCAGCTGCCACGCCATTTAAGGGGCGCTGCTTTGCTTGCAACAGGCCGGGCCATCGCAAGAGCGAATGCCCAGAGGAGCTAAGGCGCCGCGGAGCAGAGCAGGGGAGGGAGTCTCAGAGGCAGGGAAACGCCAGCAGTCAGTAGAATTTGGGCCAACTACTGACGAGACTGCCTGCTCGCCCAACCACACCGACCCTCACCGAGTCACAGTACCGATTCACGCCATCGATCGGGCTCGGATGAATAAGGAGGGTACAGCGACGGATTGCCCAGTACTAATCCACGGGAAAATACAGGGAGCAGCAGTGAAGATTTTTATTGACGGAGGAGCAAGCCACAGTTTAGTTAATACCGCAACCGCACGAAAACTGCAACTGACACTTAGCCGTTGCTTACCGGAGATAGACGCACGCTTAGTTGACGGCACGCCGCTGGCCATACGGGAAAAGGTAGAGAGAGTCAAAGTCCGCTGCGGGGGGAATTTTGGGTTTACACAGGAAATGCTCGCAACAACACTGGATGGGCACGACATTTTACTGGGGCGCGATTGGCTGCGACGGTATAACCCGCGAATTGACTGGACGACGAGTAGCTGCACCGTGCGAAGTAGTGGTAACTGGGTCCAACTACCTCGCTGGCAGTCGCCCGAGTCTTCAACGATGCACGTCAACGCCATCACAATGAAACGGGCTGTCGCTGCTGGAGCTGACGTGTACGCAGTAGATATCGCATAGTGGAGGAAGCAGAGCAGCCGAGCGATTTCAAGAAACTGCTGGAAGCTGTACCGCCCGAATTACAGGAACTGTTGAAACGGTACCCCGGGATTTTCCCCGACGACTTACCGGAAGGGTTGCCACCTCAGCGAGCACATGATCACCGAATCGAATTAGAACCAGGGGCACAGCCAACCGTACAGCGCCAGTTCAGACTGACACAGCCCGAGCTCGACGAGCTAAGGAAGCAGTTAGATTACCTGTTAGAGAAAAAATTCATCCGACCAAGCTCGTCACCATTCGCCGCACCGATACAGTTCACGCCGAAGAAAGACGGGGGTTTTCGCATGTGTATTGACTATAGAGCACTGAACAGGGTAACCATCAAATCGCGATACCCCATTCCCCGCGCTGACGAACTGATCGACCAATTGCGAACAGCACGGGTGTTTTCGAAAATAGACTTACGGGGGGGTTACCATCAAATTCGAGTCGAACCATCGGACTGCTTCAAGACAGCATTTAGTCATATACGGGTCGTTCGAGTACACAGTGATGCCCTTCGGGCTGACCAACGCACCGGCGACTTTTCAGATGACCATGAACGAGGCATTTAGGCCGCTCTTAGATAAATGCGTCATAGTTTACCTCGATGACATCCTCGTTTACAGTCAGGACAAGCAGCAGCACTTAGCGGATCTGGAAGCAGTTTTTCAAGTTTTAGACGAGCATCGCCTACTGACCAAAGGTTCCAAGTGCGAGTTCTTCCAGGATAGGTTAGAATTTTTGGGGCACGTTATTTCGGAGGCTGGCGTTGAAATCGACCCAAAGAAGCTGGATACGGTAAAAGCGTGGCGGCCCCCGACCAACATCACGGAGCTGCAGAGTTTTTTAGGGTTCGTTAATTATGTGCGTCGGTTCGTCCCCGACATGGCACAGTTGACTGCCCCACTGACTGATTTACTGCGAAAGGAGGTCGCTTTTACGTGGGGGGAGAAAGAGCATGCTGCCTTCTCTGCCCTGAAAACTGTTCTCTGTTCACCGCCCGTCCTGCGCATCGCCGACCCACACCGCCCTTTCGAGGTTGTTACAGACGCAAGCGACATCGCCATTGGAGCCGTACTGCTACAGGACTTCGGCA